TCGTTTTGGACCGGAAGCAGCAGGAAAAACAGAGACGCCAGTTGAAAGCCAAAGAACGTTCAGTTGAAAACCACCGACCCACCGCAGTCAAACCTGACAGTGAGTAACGAGGGAGTTTAGTCATCTCGTGCTGACTAACGTTCTTTTTCAGTTTTGGATCACTGTGTACGAAGTTGCATCAGTTAAGCATAAACCCTGGTTTGTCAAGCCACCTAGTCAGCTTTTCTTGTGCAGTGTTCAGAACAATGTTTTCTTCGCCTTTCCCTTTTGCAAGCCAGTGTGAAACGCAACAATACCAAAAGCAGTCTTTCGGTGATGCGTTTTTGTCAAGCCCGCACCGTATAACTTGCCAGCCGAAGATAGCCACCTGACTTTGACTCCTGTCTGTTTTCCTGCCATGTCTCAGGACGCAGTGTCTGCTGAAGAGTTCCGAGCCTTGAGGGCCACCATGGATCGTTTGAAGAAGTACGGTTTGCAGAGCGCGACGTCTGAAGCTGCTGGAGCAGAAGTGCCGGGAGCTATGGCGGATTCTAGCAAGCGTCTTCGTGATGACTCCATTGCTTCCTTTGACATGGCCTTTGATGATGAGCCTTGGGATTTGCCTTGCGGCGGAGTGCTCACCGGTTTTTCTGCAACTGGTGGCCAGCAAGTGATTTCTCCTAAGGTGCTAAGTTCTCAGACGGTTGAGCTGCCGCCAGGTGTTTCTTCGATCAAGGAATGGGGTAAGACTTTGTGTGAGCTGCCGGCTGTAGCACGCCAGAAGTTGTCTTATGAGGCCCTGGCCCAAGACGAGTCCCAAACGGACTATTTGCTGTGGATTTTGAAACAAGGGGCGTCAAAGGGCCCGCGTGTAGCCGATTTGGCCAATTATTTGCAGGCCACTAAGTTCACTGAAAAGTGCAATGGTCAGTCCATTGGACCGCCCTATCCTGGTTCCAATGTGGTGCGTAAATTTGCAAGCTGAAAGACAGCTTCCTTTCTCAAATGGTGATGCGCTTTCTCCCAGCGAGTTTTCGCGTGGTCTTCTGTTTGTTGTTTTTGTTTGGTTGGTGTTTTGGTGTTGGTTTTTGCTGTTTTTGTTTTTCTTTGTTGTTGTTTTTCATATTACTGGGAGTTTAAAAGCAGCACCCATTCTTTCCACCTGACTGGGGTCATGTGGCCTTGCGTTTCCTTCAGGTGCGGCGATCGGCGAAGACACTCATGGCTCAGGCGAGACAAAGGAGCAGTCTTAGCGGTGTTTGGATCTAGGCGAGATCCGTGGGCCTGGGCAATTTAATATATATATAATATGTAATGTAATATATGGTAAAATACCATGCAGCTGGAGGTTGTACTTTGATCTTTGGACGTTTACTACTACTCTTTCCAGCGTGGAACTGGTTCCCTTGGTCCCTTTTGTCTAACATGCTTGGCATGAGACCAAGGGCGGAGGCCATGGTCACATTCTCAAACCACAGGTTGTACCTTTAATTTGATCATTCGTGTAAAGCATTGTTTGCCCTTGACAGCGGTGGGGTTTGATCAGTGTTCCTGGAAGAGCTGCCAAGGCGCAGGGTATCGGCTTCCTTCCCAAGAAACACCCAGCTTCCCCTGGACCGCTGACCCTTGCTCACCAGAATCACTCTGCCATCCAGCAACTTGCTGAATCCTAAAATCTCCACATCAAGCATGATGGTTTCTTCCGGGATTTTGATTGCACCTTTCAGGATTCCTTCGCTTCCCAACTCACAAAATATGATATGTTCATATATGTCCCGGTTCGCAAATAATTCCGGGTCAAATTTGAGCGTCAGTTCTTCAAACTGCTCAAAACCCTCAACCAATGACACCTGGTGGCATGCCACCCCATAGCCCCCGCAGCTCCGTCCCACCTCATCAGCCTTTCCCTGGAACATGAATCGTTTCCTCGCCGTATGGGGTGTTTTCTACTGATTGATGCGAAATCCTACAGTGTGTCTTCAGAGCCATACTGATCATACAATGATATATTCATAGACACATGTCACATACACATTATACATATATATATATAGACCCCGGCTGACAGCAAAGGGGAGCGCCGGAGAGTGGGGAACAACAACAACAACAACAAGAAGAACAAGAACAAGAAGAACAAGAACAAGAACAAAACTAACAAAGTCCAAATCACTAGTTGCCCAGCGGTCTCAGTTCAAAAGTATAGAGAATCCCTATCTTCGCACCCTTACCCAGAGCAGCAGCGACAAATATATGAAAATTAGTTTGCCAGCGGTCTCGGACAAATAGACACAATCAAGTTCAAAACAACAACAAAGTCAGGCAGTTTTTCTGTTTCGGCGGAACGTTTCCAAAACGATTTCAAACATAGGCAAAAACGCTATTCAGCTTGTGTGGCAGCCATTTCGGCCAAAATACACAAGAACAGAAGCGATGCGAACAAGAATAAAAACGACAAAACAAAAAGAAGTGCCAGCACCAGGAACAACGGCAGGGATTCTTCCTTTTCTAAGGTTTCAGATGTCACGTTTGGTACTTTTCTTCTTTCGAAGCTAGTTTCGAAGCCATTTGAGCCAAAATGCACAAAGAGAACAAAAGCTGCTAAAAGCAGTAGCAACAGCAGCAGCTAGCAGCAGCAGGAACAGCCGCAGCGATTCTTCTTTTCCCATGATTTCAGACATCCCTTAGGCAGTTGGCAACTTTGGATTACCCCGTTGTGCGCACTTCCCCTTTGGCAATGATATCAAATTTGGCGTCTGTCATTCAAAGATGTAGGAGTGGTGTGTTTGACAGGCGTGAAAAATGCAAAACGGTCCCTGAAACTATTCCCCAAAATCTTCAGGAAAATAGTTGCAGCTATCACTGGACTGTTTACTTGGCAATGTCATTCGTGACTCCTCTCCATCACCCCCTTTTTGCCCCTTGGCTATGATATCAAATTTGGCGTCTGTCATCCAAAGATGTAGCAGTGGTTTGTTTGAAAAAAAAATACAAAACGGTCCCTGAAATCATTCCCCAAAGTCTTTATGAAAATAGCTTCTGTTACAATGTCAGTGGTGACCATTTTACATCATCCCCAGGTGCGCACTTCCCTGTTGCCATGATATCAAAATTTGCGTGTATCACTCAAAGATATAGCAGCGGCCAGTTTGACAGGCGTGAAAAATGAAAAATTAAATACACATCAAATTTCCCCTGGATTTAGCCCCCGAAGGCTGCACGAAAACATTGACAACTTTCACCAAACTATAATCTTCAATTACCGTCAGCATTGATTGCAGCAAGAGTGCGGTGTCCTCAAATTTTACTCCTACGGTAGGATACCCGAGTTAGAGCCTCATGAATAAAATGATGGTCAATTAGCATTATCGGTTCCTGTGGCTGAAGGTACAAGCGATTTCAGGTTTGAAAGGCATGTACAATCTGAACACAATCCCTAGATTCGGCTTTTTTTGCATGGCTCTCTTACAGCACGATGTTTGACATCGTTTGTCTTGATGTCTCGCCCCTACATCTTTCCACGTACCAAAACCTTGTTCAGAGGACAATGTGTTTCATGGATTGTTTGCTTTTCTTTTTGGCCTGCCATTTGCATTTAGTTTCCCTGCAAAAATATCTCAGGTGGTTGCTGGTTGCTGAGGATCATGGTAGTATTTCTGGCCCGAGACTTGTAATAGCACTAACTAACTAGTATCCACCATCTGCTTCGGGACAAGGTTTGAAGTGAACATCATGTTTTTTCACTCCCTGAGCGTCTCCGAACCAGCCTTTGTGTCAAGTTTTTTCTCGATTATCGCGAGAGGTTGGCATTCTGTGGGGCGTTGGCACCCGAGGTGCGCGCAAAATGCAACTGGAGGCTGAAGATTAAACAAACCAATAAATTAATTTGTTAATTAATTTTAACAATAAATAAATAAGTTAATTAATATAATATAATATAATATAATATAGTATAATATAATATAATATAATAAAATAAACTAAAATATAATATAATATAATATAATATAATATATATATATAATATTATATTATATTATATTATATTATATTAGATATATATATATATCAAAAAATACACCCATACATGCATGCATAGATGCATGCACACATGAGGGTATACAATTTATCACTTCCATGCCAAACCCGACCAAAACATGACGCAAGCTGGCTCAACTACCCTTACCCATGCCGACAATACTGACACAGGGGACCTGTCCTGCTGGCTAGTCTAGCCAGTCTAGGACTAATTTGTTCTGCTTTCCAGTTGTTCACGTTTGTTGTATCGCTTTTACAACACCATTCGTTGGCTACAAAATCCCCGGACAGAAAACATGGATTTTGACCCCTTGAATCTGTGCAATCTGCGCCTGTCCGGACAGCCCGGAGGAGCGGAAACATTGAGGTCCACCTGGAGGCACACTGAGAACCCAAAGATGGGGTTGGAAGGCTCGGAATGTCACATTCTGCAACCAGCTGCAACCTACTTGTCTAAGTTGCACCCAAAAAACGAAATCTGCGATCTAGGAATCTGGGTTGGATGATTTCACAGGATACCATTTTATAATATTATATCAATTTATATCATATTTATTTCCTTGGGATACCCTCCTGGTCCGAGTGCTCGGAGTCGTGATCTGTTGTTTGATTTTTAGGGCCAGTCATCACTGGAGGATCTGAAACCATTGTATTGCAGTCGTTGTGCCATGGATCCCAAGGTAACGACATGAGCCCAGTATGAAAGTGAACAGGCAGAAATGCTGTAGAACACAGCTCCCAATAGCCAAGCAGAGCTCCAAAGCTTCAAAATGCCAGGTCCAGAATGACTAAAAGCAATCCATGGCAATGAGGTACGAAAAATCAAAATGACATATAGGCTCACATGAGCTTCATTTCACCCATCACAAGAAATTGGTTCAAAGACATGTCCGCCAAACATGTGAATCTGTTTCACGTTTTGGACATGTCTAACATACACTTGCCATTACTCTTTATGAAATAATCCTGCATCAAACTAGTTTAAGTTACGTCATACTAATAGTGTTGGGACAGCCCACATAACTCCCAGAGCCATCGCAGGCAGCAGCCTGCTCTTTGACAAAGCCTTTGCCACGGCACTTGGAACAGCGGTTCCTTGCCTGTGGCCATCTGGCTTCAGCACAGCATGAGTAAGTTCCTTTCAATTTTCAAACATCAAAATGGGTCTGGTTGAAAGTTATCGACTCCCCATTTCGAGACAATTAATGACAATTATATAAAATATGTCAACATAGGTAAACGTACTCAAATTTTGTGCCATACCATGCCATACTAAAATCAAAACCTTCACAGATACCCACCGCCTTTGTCCCTATCCCAGGTGCACCTGCGCACCCTGACCCCCACAGCGCTGGCAGTGACGTTGCACTCGCTGGAAATAACCAGGACCCACCTGCCAATGGGGACCATGGGGACCATGGGGACTGGGAAAGCCAGGGAAAGGACTTGGTCCGGAGATCATGGTGTCAGCACTTTTGAACTAAGACAAACTGCAGAAGAACTAACTCGATTTTACTTGTTTTCGAGACTGTCGGCAGCAACCATGCAAAATTCTGCAGTGCACCCAAGTGCCTGCCGATCTTCGACAATCACTCCACGGCCATTGCAAAACACACCTGGGCAAGTTCGCGGGTCGCCATTGCCGGATAACCATCAAGTGAAAGTTTGTCTGCTTTCTAGTAGGTCATTACAGCAAAACATGAAGATTGGAGACTATTTTCTAGAAACTACGAAATCCTGAAACGTTTCGAAACTCCAGGAAGAGCTACGTTCAGCTTGTACGTGGGCCCGAACACCTCCAGAAATGCAAAAAGCTTAGGTGCTTGGCCGAAAAATAAGCTTGCAAAAACCTAGTTTTTCAGATTTATGGTGCCACCATCCAGCAAAGGTTCTTGGAATATTCTCCAAAATCCCTTGTTAGCGCTTGGCAAACTTGGGTACCCCAATATCGGTGAGCATCCTTCCATTTTTCCATTCAAAACAGAAAAAAAACATATGTCTCAGGTCCCGAGTCCTAGCTCAATGTAACCTCTCTGAAGCCATCACGGCCTACAACAGAATCAGGGACTCATTTAAGCTTGGTTCTGCACCGGAATTCACCAACCTCAATCTTCCCTCCATGCGTGACAAAGCCATCAAAAAATCCCCAGTAGCTACTACCGGTGTTTGAGCAACCCACTGCCTTCAGCTTAGAACGACGATGTGGGCTGGGTCTGTCTGAAAATGGGATATCCCAAAACTTGATGGTTGATCCTCAGTTCGCATATAAAAATTGCCACAAAAATTGGGGCATCCACCATTTTCTGGACAAGGCCACCTGTCATCCTGGGGTGCCACAAGTGTCGAGGCACAGGTTTCGATCTGCGTGGCCCCCATCCCTTGACAGGTTCGGCAGACTGCGTCCTGCGCCGGCGGCTCCACAGCACTTGGGGCCGTGGGAGCGGTGGAACCCAAAATGTGGTCCTGTATGCGGTCTGGAATCCCAAATGTGATCCGACTGCAAGAAAATTTAGGGGAGTGAAACAAACTCCAGGGGTCAAGGGTCTCCTTCTGAAGAATCCCTGACCAGTGAGAACGCAGCAGTGGCGCCTTTTGCCTATCACCTGTCAAGTTCTCTCTGGCTTCCTCCAGCTCACACGAAAGCTGCCTAACCCAATCTTGAACAGCAAGGCGAGCTTTTTCCCTGGATTCACAACTCGAAGTAGGGGGACATCCGGGGACATCAAATGATATGAACACTTTGAATCACTTTGATATCTTTATAATTCTTTATATAATCTCTTTAGACCTCTTAAGTCAATCGTCAACGACCTCCATTTTCTGGCGACCAAGCTATCTGACAAGCACACATTGGCCCAGCATGGCCCAGCGCTCCCGGTCGTAGCGAACACTCTTGTTGAAGCCCTTGTACATCTCCTTGCAGAATCCAGACCCACGACCCCGCTGAGCACTGGCAAAAGTCGCAAAAGTAATAGATATGTAATGTTATATATATATATTATTCATTGCATACGTTTGAAGAACAATCTCGCAATGTTGTTCATTTTGAGTTAGTGAATGATATACAATCTCTGAGCAGTAAAACACAAAAATCGATGAAGTTGTCGCATGTTGAGATTTTCAACAATCGATGTTGCGCTGACCATATGCTGAAATGAAAGGCAATAAGGTATTTCTTTGTCTGTTGCAGTATGTTAACCCAAACAATTTAATGCTGTTGGATTCACCCTCTCTGCATGGAAACCGCTCATTAGCAAGTGATGGCTGCCAAGTCTTGTCCAGTCAGGCCCCACAACCAGACCCAGCCTCCATTGTCACTTCAACTTCGTAGCCTCCACAGAGACATGGGATGACATGGGTGGAGGCTTGAAGAAGTCAATTCTTGAGCCATGGGCGATATGACCATGCCAAGACGAGTCAATGAGACATACCTTCATCATCGTTTATCTATTTGATCTATTTGCATGTCCGTCTTTTGCAGCCAATCTAAGCTCTCAAGTGACACTGGCAAATCACTTCATTTCGGCTCATGGAACGTCCCATGTTCCAAGCGGCCTACATCAGGCGTGCGCGCCACACCGAAGCCAAAGTTCTGGCCAAACATACTCCTTCAGCCAGAGATTCCCAGATTCGATCAATGAAGGCAAGGACGTAGTACTTCTGTAGATGTCTGGATTGAATTGTCTAGTTTCATAATTTCACTTGCTATTGTCATGAACAGTATATTATATGGTCTGTCAATGGTGGGGCCCCGATTGATTGAGGCATGCGGCATGCTTTTACTCCAATGTGCTGTCGGGAGCGCTGATATCAGTGATATCAGGCTGCCCAACACAATCAACGAAATGGGAATTGCCTTGGTGAGGAATTGAAGATAGAAACTCATGGCAGATGCAAAGCAGATCCACTTCCGCCTGAACATGTCAAAAGGATCAACTCCAGGGCCTCAGAGGCACCCGAACCCCATGGGCTCATGGAATCTCTGCAGCGTCAGGCGGTTGCTAAAGATCCAAGGTGTACAAATTAACCGTCACATTTCAAGACATGTCAATGCATTTCATATAATCTTACCAAATCTTACCAAATCTTTCCATGGTCAATGCCCTTGCTGGCAGCAACGATAGCAGGAATGGCTGCCAGGGCCCGGTGCCAAAGCCACCCTGTGCGCCACCGCCGGCACCATCGAAGGCGGACTGGTGCAGGATGCAGAATGGCAGATGTATCTGCGATATGAAAATTGCACTTTTTGGGGATCAGATCTCAGACAACAATACCATACAATACCATCAAATCAACTAGATGTTGAAAGCTTTGCAGTTCCAAAAAATGTTACAAGTAGTATACCATTAATAGGATTGTATGCTATCTATACTACCAACTCGTATCAGATTGGAGCAGATAAACATCTGATGATTCATCATTCACAGAACATGACATCATGTTCATCCAATCTTCACTGTTCATTCACGACATCCGACATGCCTCGCCCCTGAGGTCATAGGCTCGACCTTGGTCGGCCGGATGGCTGCGTAAATGTGCGTGGCTATGGCCGGACCTGGCTCAAGCTATCCAAATGCTGGAATTTAGAAGTGGCAGGACTGGCAAGAACTCCAAAAAGGTTTTACTAGCTAAGCTAGCTGATAAGCTAGCTGATAAGCTAGTGGTATCATGAAATCTTGCTTACTATGTGCATATCTGGTGCAGAAATGGGGAAAGATAAATCACCTGCCACCTGCCATGACTAGGCTACTTTTTACGAACATGTGACATTTGCCTTGTGTGTCTTTGCATGTCATTAAGATGGCGATTTTGCCTACAGAAGTATGAGTAAAGATTGAACCTTCCCCCCCAAAGTGCAAGGTGATTGCCCTTTTTGGGTGATTCATCTTGCACAACGTCCTTCCAGGGCATTTGTAAGTCGCAGGATCGAGGATTGAAGAAACATATCATCTGGCACCCACTGTATATATGTCAACATATATAGTCCAATCTACAGCAAGCAGCTATTAGTAGGGTGAATTAGTCGCAATCTCCAACTAAACAATCGCACCTCCAAGAGAAATAATATGAAATAATCTAGCCGCCCCTTTGTTGCGCTGCCCAGGCTAACCTCTCCAACGGTCACTGCCCAGCCGCGTTTCTCGGGATCTGATAAGATCTCGTAGGCCCTCGAGATTCGCTTAAAGCGCTCCTGAGATGGTACACCCAGTACACCCGGTACACCCGGTACACCCGGTACACCCCACCATGATCCACCATGGGTATCATTGGGCACCAGATGGCACCAGCACTGCAGTCGATCACAGAAGAGCCTCGTACTGAGGACGTTCGCTCTCAGGAGCCTGGCTAAGAGAAGGTTTGGTGTGCACAGCGTGCACATTGGGGATTGGTCGCATCCCATGACCCCACCTCTAACAATTCTGACTAGTTGTGGGGACCAAGTTCGAAGCAGTGGGAAGTGGCAGCTCATCATTTCCCCTGCCATCAACAGTCTTGGCCTCACACAAGGGTTGACACCGCCAAAGCTTTTTTTATACCACCATATACCACCCAAAAATTCCGAATCTCCCTTTTCGAGGATGACAAAGTGCCCAATTTCAGTGCCAGCACGCCCTCTCATCACAGGTTTACCACCTTGTCAGGGTGAAACTTCACAGCAGCTCGCTTGTACGCCTGGCGGGGTGCAAGCCTTCTATCACAGCTGAGCTGGGGGTGTTTCAGGTGGTAGTCCTCACGGTGACTATGTCAGTTTATATCTTGATTTATATCACTTTATGTTACTTTATGTCACTTTAAACAGAGACTGAATCGGTTGCTGTCAACGGTGGGTCTGTATGCAACCTTACAACTCAGCTCAATGACTTCACTGCGAATCACGTGACCAGTTACGAGCTGCCACATGAAACGTGCCTTCTTGATCTCTTGTTCGCTGGCATTCTTATCCACACCCAACACATCGTAAAGGCTTCCCTGACGCTGGTCGGATGCCCCAACTTTCACTGCGACTCTGCGCACAGAAACGATTTCAAATAGGTGGAAACAATATGATCAAATATGATCAACAAAAGTTGGAAGGAGACCATCTACTCAACAGAATCAAAAGGTATGTAGATTCATGCAGATATGTATGAAACAATTCAGGATGTCCCAACAGCAGAAAAACATCGGGTTTCTCATGCAGTGCTGTCCTTGCACCTTAAACCACCTTCCTTTGCTCACCTTTTTCGCAGGAACCTGGCCTGCAAAACCCATCAAAGGGCCTTTGTGGAGGAACCCTGTGTTTTTGGAAATCTTATTTCGTTGGGAAGTGCCCTGTGCAAACAGTTTTCTTCAAATTCCTTTGGGATCATGTGTGGCCAACCATGGATTTGGTAGCCGTCTGTTCGGAACCTGGTCTTAGGAACAACTTTAGGAATTCTGCTTCGGAGCCAGTTCATTCACGAATGTTCGTTCGGAAACCTTGTTCCAACCCGTATTTGGGAACGTGTTCGTGAGCAGCCCACAATAGATCCAGACTCGTTCAGTATCTGTGCTGCAGAAAGAATTTCTACGTGTTCTTGTTTACAATGCTTACAATGCACTTGATATAAACATTTGCCCTGGCAAAGACACCTGCACCAGACGAAGACGGTGACGACGGTGACGAGTGGTTCAGGCAGAGATAGCTGGGAGGAATGACGCCACAAGGGCCAAAGGCTGAAGGAGAAAACGTGCATAGACAGTGCATAGACCCCCTGTTACACTACCAGACTTTTAGCTTGGCTTAGCTTGGCTGCCAAGCCAACTCTTTTTCCTTGCGCACTTGGGAACCTTAGCAGCCTTTGCAACTCTGGGCAAGCTTGGAAACCTGATTTTTCGAACTTTGCAAACCTTGGAAACCCTTTGTTGAACTTTTCAAAGGGTTCTGAGTGCTTGGGACCTTCTGCTTGGAAACCTTGGGAACCTGAATCGAGACCTGCTCTGTGGCCTGCATCTTTGTGCTTGGCGGCCTGCAGGGAACCTCAGGATATACTTCATTAACCGGAACCAAGTCAACTAAGTTAGAGAACCGCAAGGGAAATGGTTTCAAGACTCCAGAACTGCTCTTAGGTCTTCACTCCTTCGCTACAGCTGCAGACACCAAGCATCTGCTCTTGGAAAATCGTCGTTGAAAACCTTGCAGTTCGGACCCCTGCATTTGGAAAACCTTAAAAACCTAGCTTCGGAAGCTTAGGAACTTCCTTGCCACGAACCTCCAAAGCCTGGCTCCACATCGCTTTGGGGACCTGAACATCCTGTACTTTGGCAGAAAACCCAAGCAGCTGCCGTACAGGAGTGAAGATTAAATAAAATATGATGATAAGAGCAGTGGTACCAGTAATAATATTGTTTTAAAAGGATATTAATAATGATGATGATAATTTGATAACAACAATAATAATACTAATATATATATATATATTATAATAATGACATTTGTAATAACAAGTATGATTCTGATGACGACGATGATGATGATCATGATGATGGTGATGATGATGATGATGATGATGATGATGGTCAAACTTCATTGAGGCAGTGGACAACGCAGCAACTCTTTTTGCACATGGGGTCGCGTGACTGGCTGGACGGTTGGGTAGGCCCTTTTGGCCGACAAGGCAAGTGAATGTTGAAGAAGTCCAGCGAAGGAAAATGATGGCTGAAAATTGTGGTGGCAGTGGGTGGGGCGATTTTCAGCCAAGACATGAAACGCGCCCACCACACCGCTACCCTTGAAGATCAACTGCAGGAAATGTCACAAAGTCTGCACGACAGATTCGTGTCGCCTAGCGTCCTACCGTGGTATTCGCGGCATCTCATACTTCCAGAGTCGTGCCAGGTCACAAACAAAGTCACACTGCCCACAAACCGCCGTTTGTTTTCAATTGCGTTTTGACTGTTTGATCATTTCATGAGCTGCACTGTCAAACTTCATTGAGGCAGTGGACAACGCAGCAACTCTTTTTGCACATGGGGTCGCGTGACTGGCTTCCCCCTTTTATGTCATGCGGTCCCATTGTTTGCCAAAACCTCCAGGATCTTTTGCAGAAACTCTTTCGCTTTTCCAGACATGTCTTCTTCGATGCCCAGCAGAGGATGTGACTGTTGCCTGGAGGGATAGTCACTGATATTGCATTCAGTGGGAACCCTGGCAAACCAGAGACGTGTGCCACTTTTTGCCTCAAGCTGAAGGTTGTACTGCGTCAAACGCTGAGCAACATCACCACTAGCGCACGCTCGCACTAGTGAAAATCTTACGCTGTCGTTGTCACCAAAATGAACATGCATATCGTCACTGCAATCTGCGCACCATAAACTTGTCGCCAACACCGCTGCCAACAACTCAAGCTCATAAATGATCGTTCCTTTGTCATCCGATCCAAACAACTTGCAGACGTGTTCATCAAGATATATCCCAAACCATTGTTGCACTTTCGAAGCAGAATCGACTAGGACGCCACCTATCCCACCAGTGCCTACGCTTTGTTCAAAGCTCGCATCCGTAAAAATGCACCATTGTTTGGCATTCCCAGAAGTGACTCTACGTGGCCCCGCAAGCTGCAACCGATCCACCATGGCCTTTAGGGCGACGACAAGGTCTGGCTCCATTCGGCTGCTTTTCCCATATGCATGATCAACAAGGTTCTTGAGGACCAGTTTTCCTAGGCGACCATGTAAAAAACTGTCTGCAAAACCCAAACGCCCTCTTAAGACCAGCGTTTCATGTTTGCCAAGGCAGCCCTTGGCAACTGCATCAGAAATCTGCTTGACCAGTTCGTCTCTTCTGGCTTGGGTATTGCAGACATGCAATATACCCTGTTCAGATCGGCTAAAGTCGAATTCCACGCCCAGGGCTTTGCAGAACTGGCTGAACTGAGTAGCCTTTTTACCTTCTCCAGCATAGAGCCAACCCGTAAGGCGGAACAGGAGCTCCATACTGCAACGCGCTGATTGCTGAAGGTCCACTTGTGCTGCTAGGATGAAATCATCGTAAAAATTAGTTGACAGCAAGTACAATCCTTTTGTAGCAATGGCAAACAACATGCGAGACAGGCGGAGGAAACAAAAGACACTATGAGTTGCTCCAAAAGGCATTGTCTTCAACCTGTATATTTCAGCACGGCCAGTCTTACAGTTAAATATGCTGAAGTATGCAAACTTATAGTGGGACGGGCGTATTGGAACTTGACGGTAAGCACTCTTCAAGTCGTAGGTTTTGCAAACCAAACTGCAGGAGCTGCGCTGCTGAATGCGCTTGTTGAAGTACATCTTGATCATGGCACAAAATGTGTCAATCATGTGAAGGTCAAGCTTGTTGTGCATGATGCAACTGTCATTGACACCACTTACAGAAAAATCATCTATCAAACGTGTTTTCTCACCTTGAGTCAGAGGAAACCGCCGGGATATGGTTGCTCCCGGTTCCAATTCATGCAGTTGGAAAGGGCCCTCAGCCCAACCTCGCTGTAACTCGTTGCAAGTTTCCTCAAGTAGTTGCAGGTCCATGGACTCATCGCCCGAAGAGGTGGTCATCCGCAGCACCAAGGCATTTCGTTTGTCAGCATTCGCTTGCAACTGTTCCATGGTGGCAAGGCAAGGTTTGAACTGTGATTGGAAAGCCTTGGAAGGTTCAATTTCACCTGCCAATGTCGCACCCTCATGCAAGAGCTTCAAAGCATCAGTATCTTCGTACGCAATCTCTTCTAGCATCTCCCTAGTGAGCAGGATACGTTTTTCACATGTTACCTCCGCAACCTTCGGGTGCCTAAGCAAAGCATTGGCCTTCTCTTCAGTCTCAAGTTCCTTGGCCCTGACCTGCACCAAGCAATTCTATACGAACACATTTGCACACTGTTCCACTCAACATTCATAGACACCGCCTCCACCAGTTCCTTAGGTATTCCAGAAGTCTTCAACATAGGGTGTCCCGCTGAGCATGCTTTCTGTATGAACGCCTCATGCGTCCAAGGGAGTCCAAAAGCAACTTCAAACGGAAAACCAACTGACCCTTCCAACGACATGCCATGATCCAGTTTCCCTTTTGCACTCTGCGCACTTTGCCCCTCCTCTCCCCCTTTAACAGGGGCAGCAAGAGCTGAAAAACGCAAATAACGGCTGTATTTTGGAACAGTAACTGGGAGCCCTTCGATTGTATGCAACGTGATATCCTTGTCTAACTTTGCAAGCAGTGCACATGGAATTTCTGCCAACTCTTTTACCAAAAAGACAGCCACCGAAGAGAAATCAGCAACAACTGGAGGGACGCGTGAAGGCCGTGGTTGGTAGCCCGCACTGATCTGAGCCTGTTGCGTTGCTTGCAACGGGTTTGTGTCGTCTTCCAACGACTCTGCTTTCAGTTTCATGCCATTTGCCGCAAAGAACTGCAAAAGAATGTTGACAAGAGCAACGCGCATCTTTTTAGGATACTGAGACTCCAGAGAGGTTGCCCATACTTTTTGACCAGTGTCATCTCTCGCAAAACCCCATGGTTCATGACTATGCCGGCGATCACAACGAATGTTGAGGCTAGTGATGCCAGGAAAATTTGCCACTATGCGTGTCCACTTGTCACGGCTTCCACCCAACATGCAGACCTGAAAATCACCACAGTAAAGGTCTGTGGTTGCCATGAGCTGGAGAAACCATTTGGTCAGCCAAAAGTAGCTGCTTCGCGGGTTCTCCATGGTTGCTGCAACTCCTTTAGAGCAAGCCAAGCAAAATATGAAACAAGAAAACTCAAAAATTTGGTTTGCAATGTCCACTCTGCACTGCTCAGCCTCAGTCAGATGTTTATTTCCTTCTGGGGTTTCACATGAGCGCAAAGGACGTGGTGCACCTTCAAACAAGGGAATTTCTCTTGCTCTGGACGCTGTGCCGCAAACCGGTGCTAAATGTATCCATGCAAGTCATGGCGAATCCACCCATTGCTTCAACAAGGCTTGATCTCGTTGATCGACCAAATTCAACTGAAAAATTGAACAGCGCGCAGATCTCTTACGGACCTTGTCCACAGCAATCGAGCCACTTAAACCAGCAGCCTTACTTGTTGCGCACAAAACTGCAGCGCCAGCAAAAACTTCAATCATGAAACATTGTTCGATGCTTATGCCAGACCAATTGATGAAAGCAATGGATGGGGTCACGTGTCACTTTCCTGGGTGCTGTTGGAGTGAATGTTCTGCTCCGCAGCGTGGTTCTGCACAAATGTGAAGTCCCTTCGAACACTTCTGGCCAGGCTTGATGTGCTTCTCTGCACAACCACTACGGCAATTGTAGCCGAAACAGATTGGCTCTCCTTGTGGAGAGCGATGCCACTTCCCTCTCAACTCAGAAGGAACAGGTGGGGATGACGGCTTGCCACCTTTCTTTCCCTTGCCCGTTCCTTTGGGCCTTGGCCCTGAACCCGAGGAGCTATAAGGGTGTGATCTCCACGGTGTAGAAGCTGCTGGTGCACCCCCTGAGCTCTTTGTTGTAGGCATCAAGTAAAGGGCTATTGCAGGATCTGACCTCAACTCCAAGAGTGCAATCCCAAGGGGATAGGTGCCATCCTCTTTCTGTCGCACTGAACTCACTGTCGCGCTAAGACGCCCCCAAGCTGCTTTGTCACATTGTAGAATGGCGGCAAGAGGGGGCCTAGAAAAGCCCGGGGGTGGCTCACGATGCATGGCTTCGAAAAGGAACGTTTCCCATTGGGTATGCTGATTGTAACTCATGAGCTTTGCAAATTGCATGGCCACACCCCTTCGCACAAATGCGTAATGCACCTTTATCTCGGAATCTGTTGGGCATGTCGCCTTGTCATCTCCCGCCCTGAGGACTAAGGATCCCCTTTCAAGCGTGAGTTCCTTGTTCTTTGTGGTGCCTTGAATTTCCTGCGTTCTTGAAATGCATGTCGCCAAGTCCAGGTGCTTGATGGAGTTTGTCTCATACAAGTTGCACACTCGATCCAACAAAGAATGGGCAGGCTCCAACTCGCCACTGATGGTCAGTCCACCAAGCGTGGTTCGAAGAGCTTCCATACGAGTATTTCTTTCAGCGAAAGCAATTCTCCTGGGTGCATCATCTGTCCTGCCAACCTGTTGTCTCAGAGTTGCTGTCAAGAAAGTCTGCGCTTCGAAAGCGACTCTCTTCAAAATGGTGCTCTCGTTCAGCGTTGGTGGTCTCCCTGATGCCGCCTGTACCAAGGTTTCAATGCTCACATCCTGGATAGGCTGGCCAGGTTGGCCAATGGAGAAAGCCAGCTGAGCCAGTGTCTTGACTCCATGCAATTTCAGTGAATCAATCAATGGTTGTCCAAGGCCTGTCTCTCTAAGCTGGTTCTCAAACTGTGCAGTTGAATCAATCAACGAAGTCATGGCCTGCTGAGAAACTTAATGCATAGGAAAAGTGAAATTCATGTCTTTACATGCGCAACAAAACCTGAGCAAGTCGAACACTCAGACTCCTAAGCACAAAACACCCCTTAGGTAACAACTAAAAGCGAAAGGCAACTGGAGGACATGCAAAGTAGGCAGTATCACATAGAGCCAAACTCAAACAAGTGTGTTAAGGCTAAATGCGACTAAACTGACAATGCTTTCAGTGTCCTATTTGCCACTGCACAACAATGCACTTAAGCCACAGACACGTCGAAGAGAAGATGCTTTCATCCAAAACTTGACTGACACTTTCATTCAGCACGTGGCAGCTTCTCTCACTGATGCCACCCTCTGACCAAAAAAAAAATCAGCTGTCTGAAGTAACTCAAACAAAAAATTGGCTGGCAGCTTTCTGCAAAAAAAAAGGAAAAGTGACCGCCTTTGCAATCCACATGCGCATGCCAGCTTTCTGGAAACGTACGTGCGCACTTGACCACAGAAAATTGTGTTAACAACTTCCTTTGAAGTTTCACGGCTTTCCGCAAGATTTCAGAAGCACTTTTTTTTCCTCCACAAAACGAAACGAGCCCCTTTGGGCAAACATCAGCAATCAGGGTGACAACTCTAGCCCTCAGTTTCGTTCGAATCTGAGGCCTTGGCCCTTTTAAGAAACTGATCCAATGACTCAGTCAACTGCTCACGATTCCTAATGCGGCCATTGTCGCTTGGAAAACATTTGATGCACTTCGGGTACCTAAAGTAAAAGGTCCTGGGAAGCTTTCTGAAGTTAGGACCCATGGAAACCTTGCACTTTGAAACAGTCTCATTCAACTTGCAGCTGTGCAAAATGCCGCTCTTGTGGTGTCTAAAGTAGTCAACGTTGGCAGGCACATCTTCACAATAACGCACACTCTTAGGTCCAGGCTCCTTTGTACTGCTTGTAGAGCTGTCAGAAGATGAACCACTACTGTCACTGTCACTGCCAGATGACGACTCAATCTCAATGACACCAGCAGACACAAGCTCGACCGGAAACAAGGTGAGCCTGTCAGCAGCTTCTTCCAAGGTTTGCAAGTCAAGCTGTTCTTCCTTCACGCTCTGTAGTTCCTCAAGCTCAAGCGCTGCTCCCACAGCAGCATCCACTGCTATTTCACCTGCAGCAGCTACCACCTGGGCATGTGAGCTTGGGGCAGCAGGTTGGGAAAGCACCGGCATCGTGGCTGCCAATCTTGGAGTGAGAGGAGGAGGCGTACTGATGACGCCCAGCTCACGCATTGCATCATCTTCTAGGCTGAGCCCCATCCGGACCCTCTTCAAGATGAGACCAAGCTTTCTAAGGGCCCGTGTCTGCAACTGACGGCTGTAGACAACCTCTGATCCATTCAAGGAGTTACAATGGTGCCCCAGAACTGCTCTGGTTTCTTTGTCAAGACCTGCGCGAGCTCCCCACCCCAACAACGTTGCTTTGAGTGAGTGACTCCTGAAGCTCGAGTGGTCTGGCGTTCCATGCAACAAACCACGTAGCCACTCTGCAGCCTCTGAAGTTGTGAGAGGCCTTGCACAGAAAGTTCCATCAACCCTCGGAGCAGGAAGCAGCGGCCCCAACGGACGTCTGTTCAGTTGCAAGCCGCATGAATCATAAACTTCCATGAAGGTCTCAAGCCAGGGATCATTTGTAATACCATCCCACGGCACGACGATGGGAAGGTATTGCTCATGCCTGAGGCCAACACTTGCTGTCTTGTGCTCTGAAGTATACAGCGTTAGGCATTCATGAGCTGTCAACTCAACATGTTCGACGTACCTAACATCGCTCCAACGAGCACGCCCGTAAAGACAAATGAGGAAGCACCCGGCGCCTAACCTGTCAACAACATTGCCACTCCCCTCGAGGACTTCATGCAATCTACGGATGTGAACAAGTTCAAGAGGAGGTGCCTGTCTGCTTGGCCCCTTGGCCTGCCTCTCAAGTGCTGCGAACCCCAAAAGCCTGCGGGATCCCAGCAGTAGACCTTGTCAGGGGAAAACCGGCAGGTGCCAAGCAACCCCTGTGAGAAGGGCATCAGCCCATATCATCAAAGTGAAACACACCGAGATCAAGAACAGGTTCACCAGATGAACTCGGCAAAGAAGATCGAAAAACCTCCTCAGGAGGTGCAAAAGAAGAGGATGATGAAATGGAAACACTGGTTTTCTGACGTAATCTTCGACGAACAGGAGGTTCCCGACGAGGAAGACCAAGTTTGTAAAGAAACTCCCTGCGATCTGAATCCAACATACGAAAGGATAGCCAACCATCAGGGGTTGTGCTGCGCTGCCGTGAACCAGAAGAACAAGGTTGCTGCTTCATATTGTGACGATTATTCCAAGGCCATTTCTTTCCACATAAAAGACATTGAAGCTGTCCAACAGGATGGTGACAAGAAATCGAACCATCCCACGCCAAATGATGCTCCCGACAGTGATCTTTCATGGTAGCAAACAAATGCATCAATCGATGTGGATTTAACTCATGACCAGGTTTATCAAGCAATTCTGATTCGCCAACAGAAGAAAAAGGACAATCACGATAACTGATTTTCAAACGACGATGTTTGACCTCTTTGACAAAAACACCACATCGTCGACAATAGACCCCTCCACCAGGAGCAGAGTCAATCCAGTGGCCACGTTCAATAATATATCCACTTGCAGCCAGTGCACGAGGGATAACAGGTACTGTTGAAGTGGCGCTAGACGAAGCGTCATTAACACCCAAATAATTGCGAATGCTGTGCTGCCAAATGTCAATAAGCATACGTTGCAAAGAGCCAATAAATGGTGAAAGAGATCGATCACTTTTGGTAAGAATGGTGGCATAGCGAAAACAAGGTTTGCTAGCTTCGACAAGGTTCCAAACATCAGGCGCCAATGTAGTACGCAAGTGAGAATAATGAGAACAATGCCACGAAATATGCTCCACATCCATGACGCCACCAACCGAACAATCACAATGGGTTTCCTTCTTGTGCATGTGTGTGGAAATGATGTTCTGCGTAAACAAGCCACCGCTTAAAAGCAATCGAAGAATAGCAGCACGTTGTCGACAATCCTCTTGATAAGGTGTAGGGTCAACGTTGTCTGCAGACCAACCATCTTTCTGAAGTTGAAATAAATGCGCCAAGGTTTCATCTCGCAAAACACCAGTTTCAACACCTCGAAAAACAGGACGGTCTCTGGAAACTTTGACAAATTGAGCATGCCTCCAAGTGTCACGAGCTTCATGAATCCATTGACTGAAGTCCACATTACAGTGCTGAAGCAAGGAAGTAATGATACCAGCAAAATCGTCCAAAGAATCCACTTGCCGCAAAAAAAATGATAGAACCATCAACAGCCGGAGGTTGAGTAGAAAAGAAAGCCGCAGTGACAGCAGACCACCTATCACTTGAACGCAGAGTACGCCAAATGGTAACAATACCATCCATAACTCGACAAAATTGTGGGCAAAGAGAAGGAGAAGCCAACAAAGCAAAGTAAATGCCAGGACTGACAACATATTTGTCACGACGAAGAAGACAACGTAAAATACCAGAACGCAACGTATTTAATTCATTATTGTGACTAGAAGTCATGACCAAAGAATGTGATCCAGTGCCCCACGTAAATTGAGATCTTGTACGTAACAAAACTGCACAACGCGAAGCCCAAGAGATTGGCAAGTGCCGAGAAGCTGTAACCGTGTGAAGCCACCGCTTTAATCGTTTGACTTCCAAAGCAGTTGAAGTCACTTTCTTAGAGTCACGAAAAACCACAGAGCCGCCCAAAAGCCGAAATTCATCACAGTGCTGCAAGTCAGGTTGTAATCGGCCTTTAACACATTGACTTCCAAAAGAGAAGGACTTGCTGTGGTTCATCATGCCACCAATAGCAGCAATAAAATTAGATGACACCTCCAAAACTGATTGCACAGCTTCACGAGTAATTTCATCATTAGATCCTGTAACAGTCACAGACACATCATCTACGTATGCACGAGGAAGAGATTGAGGCACCTGAGAATTGACAGCATGAAGCCAAATATTAATCACTGCGTTCATGGAAATCATCGACAAAGGGCATCCTTGAAGAATACCTCCATAAATAGGCTGAGACTGATCCAAGTGTTTCCCAAGTTTGAACCGGCGTGTAGCAGAACGAAGCATACCAATATATGGTCGCCATACACAAACAGGCATGTTCATACGCTGCAGAATGCATGCAAGCAGTTCACGAGGGACACGATCAAAAGCCTTTGAAAGATCAAATGAAAGACCAGCAACGTATTGATCCGTGGGACACAATTCCAAGTCCGTACAAACTGCTAAGAAAACAGCTTCTGCACCACGATTAATGCGACCGCCCCACAAGTCAGGATGAGCCCATGCTTCTTGCCAATCCTTTGCAAGTTGCTGTGCGCGCAAACGAGCCCAGACCCGATAGATTGAACTAAGCACAGTAAGAGGCCGCAGGTCACCAGGATTATCAACAGAAGTGCCTTCTTTGGGAATCAAAGTTGTAAAGCCGGCAATGAGCGCAGAAGGCCATATGCCTGTGTCTTCAATACATTGTAACAATATAGCCAAAGAATCGAAAACCCAAGGAGCACCATGTGCAAGCAAATGAAGATCACTCTGATGCCATCCATCAAGACCAGGGGAAGTAGGAATAGTGGAGAGACACGCTTTGCGTAACATGTCACCAGTGAGAACAGGAACAGAAGAGGGTCCAGAAAAAATAAATTGATCATATTTGTCAAAAAACTCGGTTGCTGAAGGTTCGCCATTTTTAAACAGCTCATGAACCGATTGCCAAGCTTGCCGTACTGCACCAAAGAGTGATTTGACATTTGCTGTGCGTTCACCAGAGCCATTATCAAAACAAATTGTAGATTGCAGAGGCGCACGCTTGATCCAAGCATGCTGCGCCTTGACCGATTTCTGAAGGCGGTGTTTCCATTGCTTAATACGTTGAGAGCGATCCTGATTTTGAATATATGTAATGCCTTCCTCAAGAATTTGTTGTAATTGTAGAGCTGCATCAATGCCACAAGGCAACTGAAGTGATGTTCGAGCCCGGTCAGTCAGGTGTGAAGGCAAATCATGTAGCATGGATTGTGATTTCTGCCAAGTGCGAGTTGCAACAGTTCCAAAAGGCCTCTTTTGTATTTCAACCATCCGGCACACATGCCGCCAAAGTCGACGAATAGAAAGGGAAGCAGGACCATCTTTTTTACATGGAGGCCATACATGATTGGATGCAAGCCGAACACATCCTCTACCCTGATGAAAAGGACGGTCCGAAGCAACAAGATCCCATAAAACATTCAAATGTTTCTCAGCATATATACTCCAATAACGGAAAGCAGAATCAAAATCATTGGAACGAAGTGCATCTTGAAAAGAAGAAGAGATGCTCACAACAGGTTTCTCAAGTTTGATCGAAGAATAAGAAATACCAGGGGATAAACGTCCAAAATCACGACTGCAAGCTGTCAATTGAGAACAACAACCAGTGGCCAACGTACAGTGTAGAGGGGAATGATCAGCGAGACCAGTACGCAAGCCCAAATGAAAGGACTCAAACGAGCAAAGAGCCAACTGGTTAGCAAAGATGTAGTCAATCGTGCTGCCTTGCCCTTTGAAACTAGTGTGCTCATCTTGCAATTGCACCATGGATGCAAGTGAGGTCCACTGTAAAGAGTCTAAACGCTGCAAAAGGGAAGAATCAGACATGGTTAAATTGAGATCACCACCAAAAATTGCAGGAAGACCACGCGCTGCAGAGTCATCAAGCACAGCCTGAATGAGATGATGTGTTTGATCACGCAGTGAACTGTTCCAACGAGAGCCAGCATGCCCACACAAAACATAGCAATTGAAGCGATAAGAACCATTACCCAGCCACAAAGTGATTCCATGCAAACGCCCGGATTGAAATAACCGATGACAAGCAGAACCATGCGGAAAAGTAAGAGGAGTTGTATGCCAGGCAGAACCATTGCGGACAAGAAAACCAACACCCCCTTTCTGTGTGTGGATAGGGGAGCCCCAAAAAACATCATATCCAGGAAAAGAATGCCGAACCAAAGGGAAATGTTGAGACGCCAGATTGGTCTCACAAATGGCAATGACGTCACCTCGAAGTCCCATAAGCGCAGCAGAGCGCGTCTTGCCCATAACACCATCAGAGTTGACATAAACGAATTGCATCTTCGCAGGAAGAGTGTTAGAGAAACCAGTGTTACCATTTATCATCCTCATGTATAAATTCACATGCAAGGACCAAGCACCAAAAGTGCCATGCAAAAAGTGACAAAGGTGAAACCACGTACAATCCTCATTTCTTTGCGTCTGGAGTTTCGCCAGTCCTGGTGGCTGTTCTTTTTTCAGCAGAACTCCGTCGAGGAGAAGCTGGGGCATTGTGTATGCTTCTCGAAGCTGCTTCTGACACAACTTTCTGCAAAAAAGACTGCTGCTGTTGCTGCCGAAGAGACTGACTGCTGGGCATATTCTGAGTAGATGCTTTTGCAGTAGCTGAGGATTCTGCTGCAGCACGAGCTGCTTTTGCCATTTTCTGTGATACGGAGTTGAGAGCCTTAAATTTAATAGGATGGGGCTGTCCATCATGAGTATAAAATAACGCTGAAGCATCTCCCATGGTAGTGGAATGAAAAATTGCTTGACGATCATCCATATAAATAATGTCAATGCCAGTCCATTTGCGGGCATGCAGCAACTCGCACAAACCATGCAATCCCGTAGAAGATGGGACACCAGAGATCTTCCACCGACCAACAGAGGCGGAGTCAAAAAGGCTATGCCGTGTAGCGAAAGAAGAAGCAGCATCAACCGTTTTGAAACGGACAGCCAATAATCCAGTTTTCCCTTTCTCAGCAAGGCCGAACGAAGCGGCATCCTCTGTTGCAAGACGCCGTGCTTCTTCCAATGACGCACCTTCTCGCAACCAAACCAATTCAAAGTTTTCATCAGAGTCAAGCTGTTTGTAAAACACACCATCCTGCCCAGAAGCCTGTAAAAGGGTCAACCTGCCCTGAGTGGCAAAGAAAGGAAAAAGAGCCATTGATTCGTGGCTGTACTTGATCAATCGCAATGTCAGGAATCCACTGTTGGACATGTGCCACCAGAATATTTCCAGGGTGTTCACCAGGAGCCCAACCACGGTGCACACTAAATTTCGCAGCCATTCGACGCATGTGAATATCAATGCGTACTTCCGTACCATCAACCTGCCGTAGCACAGGAGGTCCAAACCCCAATTGTACCAAGAATCTCTGGACAGTGACACGTTCACGTGCACAGTCGTTGCCAGCAACTGATAACGAGCAACTGACAATAGAACGTGGGTATGATTTGAGCCCAAGTGCATCAGGACTTTCAACCAAAAGCACAGCACAAGGTCGTGCTGTATGTCCAACTTGTCGAAGGACTGCAGGAAGCGCATGCTTAGGGCAAATTGAAATCCCACCAGAAGATCCAAGTTGTTGATAAGGCACGATGGGTGCATTCCACTCTTCCGCCAGTAATGAAGGTTGAGCGCGATACCTAGCTTGCTCAGGAAGTGCTTCTTGAATAGATAAGCGAAATTCTCGCTCGACATCAGCAGTGTCAGGAGAAGTGAGAGACTTTGATCCACCCTTAGTTCCTTTGAACTGTTCGCCACGTCCCTTGTTGTATCCTTTGCCCTTTCCCCCACTGCCACCTCCATTGCCATTTAAGGCATGCATACGCTGATTGCGTGTGTGTGAAGAAATAGTCCAAGCCACTTGAAAGGCCCACAACATCATGAGAGAAAAAATCAAATTGCACAAACATCTGCAAAAACATGAAATGGGAGAGGATCTGCACCGATGTCTTCTAACAGCTTTATATCTCCGTAAGCCCACTTTGCGGGCACGACTTCGTTTGAATCGCACGGAGCGAACACACCAGTCAGGTGATACAGCAAAAACCATCAAAGCAGTGAGCAGCGTGATGAAAAATATCATTGTGAAACGTGGCAAAATGCCATTGCACCAAATGCAAAACACTGCAGTCAACAACAAGCAGTACAAAGCATAGTGAATTGTGTCATATGAGACATTACGAAAACAGCCGAAAAGGCCTGACATGCGCTGCCTCATCCCAACCTCCTTCCTCACCTCCGGCACGCATGTCGAAGAAGGTTGCGTAGATGCCGGAGAGCCTGCGGGATCCCAGTATGCCCTCCGTTCCATGGAGGTCTAGCGTGAATCGGCAGAACCTCACCGTTTCCAGAAAGGCCGAGGGGACTGTGTACCCTTTGGCATCTGCGAGGCGCTGCTGCTTCAGCCAGACGAAAAACTCCCATACAACCGGTTCTTGTAAAGGGATTGCTCTTGCGCCCAACTCCCTGCAGGTATCACTTCTGTCGAACCAGCTGAGGAACTTCTGAATGGAGCCAGCTCTTTTCAACAAAGTGGAAGGGCTCTTGACCCCAAAACACGATCTCAAGATCATGGTTGCGTCGCTTCCAGAGTGGTCTTTTTGCAGCGAGGCTGCAAGTTGCGGCCCAACGCCAGAAGCGCTCCAATCAATTGAAAGAATGTTCAGCCACTGTGCACATGCTAAGTCCAAACGTTGACTTTTCTCTTCAAAAAAGTTCATGTCTCGCATGCTCTTAACAGCGTGAACAAAACTTGCACCGTGGGGCATTGTAAAGGAAGTTAACTTCTGCTGCAAGCTATCTGAGGACTGAGCGCTGGAGGATCTATCCATCTCTGCCAGACCCAGGCACTGCGGCAGTGGATTTTCATCTATGTTAAAAACTGCTGCCATGGTTCCAACTTCCCACGGCAATCTCAAAGCTGGTTGCGTCTGCTGAAACTGCGCAAAGCTACTGGCAATGATTTCATTCCACTGGGCAGATGCAAGTGTCACCCCATGCTGTTGCGGAGCAAACTCTTCTGTATCACACTGGGGCTCCCACTGCTGGTCTGGCCCATCAAACGAATGCTCAGTTTGCACATCAAGCACATTGTCTACATCATGCTTAGAATCATGTCCAGGCTCATGAGCAGGGGACGCATCAGCGTTAGATGGACTACCAAAAATATTCCCACCTTCGAAGGCAGTTGAGTGTGCAGGAACAGCCAAATCACGTCTGAAAACAGGTTTTGAAGCAAGCATGTCAATGGCTCTAAATGGAATTTCTTCAGTTTCAAGATCCGATAGACTCGCAACACTTGCACTGTAACCAGGACTTCTCGGCTCATCTGGCTCAACCCCCTGTGACCGATTTTCAGCCAAGACATGAAACGCGCCCACCACACCGCTACCCTTGAAGATCAACTGCAGGAAATGTCACAAAGTCTGCACGACAGATTCGTGTCGCCTAGCGTCCTACCGTGGTATTCGCGGCATCTCATACTTCCAGAGTCGTGCCAGGTCACAAACAAAGTCACACTGCCCACAAACCGCCGTTTGTTTTCAATTGCGTTTTGACTGTTTGATCATTTCATGAGCTGCACTATGATGGTGGTGATGCTGATGATGATGATGATGCTGATGCTGATGATGATGATGATGGTGGTGGTGGTGGCGGTGGTGGAAATTTTGCTCATAAATGATAGTGATACTAACAAGAACAATAATGATAATAGTGATAAGAATCGTGCTAAGAATAGCAATAATAATAATAATAGCAATAGTAATAGCAATAATAATAATGATGATGATGATACTTATAATAATAAGTATAGTAATAATAACAATGATAGTAGTAATAACAATAATAATAGTACTGCTACTAGTAGTAATAGCAGCTATGATAGTGATGATAATAATAATGACAAGGATAAGAAGAATAACAATATTACTAATAGTAATAATGAGAAGAAGAAGAACAACAACAACAACAATAATAATAATAGTAATTTCAATAATCAGTAATAACAAATGAAAAAAATGTGATGAACAATAATTAATCATCAAAAACTGTCGTTCATACTACAGCTTCCGTTGCTTCAGTTTCCCCAACACAGTATTATGTGCATGACATTCCAAACATGTGAATCAAGGCAGCTGCGCAGGTGCTTTCTGTTTTAAGCGTGGTGCAAAGAAGGTCCAATCTGTACAAAATGTATTAGAACCAGCGGGTCCAATATTGGTACAGCTAGACCTAGAAACTGACCCCCATTCAAACTGACACCAATCAACAACCCAAAGGCTGGGGTATGTTGGGGTCAACCAGTAGAGGTGGGGAGTTCCAACAGCACCACCTCCAAGACCACGCAGTGGTGGTGCATGGGGATGGTGGTGGGCAAACAGATCAGGGGAAACTTGAAGCAAAAATGGCCACGGACCAGATACTGAAATTTCCGGGTCCAAAGTATGAACACATATGTACAAGTACATGACACGTTCATACTACAGCTTCCGTTGCTTCAGTTTCCCCAACACAGTATTATGTGCATGACATTCCAAACATGTGAATCAAGGCAGCTGCGCAGGTGCTTTCTGTTTTAAGCGTGGTGCAAAGAAGGTCCAATCTGTACAAAATGTATTAGAACCAGCGGGTCCAATATTGGTACAGCTAGACCTAGAAACTGACCCCCATTCAAACTGACACCAATCAACAACCCAAAGGCCGGGGTATGTTGGGGTCAACCAGTAGAGGTGGGGAGTTCCAACAGCACCAAACAATTCGACCATCGACCAGCCGGAGTAAGAACTCCCCAAAAAAACGATCGATGGAAGCACCCAGTCAGCGGACTGCAGCTGGCCTTTTTCTCGCAGATGAATGTCAAAATACGAAGGCCACTTTCGACCAGTTTGGGTAATCTCAATACCTGATGACTGCAGCAGCTGAATCCAAGGGATGGATTGCTGTGATCGTGGATCCACGGCAACGGAGAGATGTTCTTTGAACCGACTCAATTCGTCGGCTAGCACATTCAAACGGCCAGGGATGTGCGTGATTTGAGGATACACTTGATTCCGTCGCATAAATTGGAAGTATGGGGTCAGCACAGCTGCCAGGGCTGGAGTCATAGTGAGACCTTTGGCCGTGGCAGCATCTGCTGCGCTGTTGTCTGTGGCTTGGTGACACGCGATTGGCCCACGGGTACAAGGTAAGTGGGTTGCAATGCAGAAGGATAATGCAAATTGGGCTAACAACTCCCAAGCTGCGATGTGCTTTTGCATGTCGTCACCTATCCACGGCCATAGCGACTGCGCCTCCTCAAGTGAGATGCGAAACTGAAACCAAGTCGAAGACCCATCAGGAAAAAAGGCTGCACCACCTAGCCCGGCCAGGGATTGAGATGCCATAGCGTCAGCTGTAGCATTGACTTGAATCCAAACTGGATGGCACATTGTCAATGAGAAAGGTGTTGAAGTCAGCAACTGTAGCCATATTTTGAGGGTTTCAGCAGCTTCATCATCCAGTTTCCGGTTTGGTGTAGAAGGATCGGAAAGACCTACCCAAACACGGCGGGATTTGATGTGCAACAGTTGAACTTGTTTCAACTTAACGACATTGGTATTGGCGACGCGACACAATGTAATGCCCTTTCTCAATGATTGATGCTTGTGAGTCAATGAGGTACACAGCTGTAGCTGGTCATCCAAGTGAGCCGTCAGTGTTTGAAACGTCACATGATCCATTCCCACCATAGTAATGGGAATGCGATGCAGAGCCTTGTACAGTGGGATAAGAAGTGGACGTAGGTGACGCCACGCTGAGGTCAACCACAAAAGGCGTCCCACCAGTGACTGCATCTCCCGTAGTGTCAAGCGTTCTGAGCGTCGTATGGATCTGATTTGGGCTGTGATGCGCTCCAGTTTCTCGATGGGGACTTCGATCGTCCAATAAGCAACAGAGATTCGCCAGCCAATCCAATCCACGGTGTCCGAAAGTGCTGCTTTGTGCCAGGACATGGGTACACCCAAAATCAGCAAGAGAACCACAATCAAGGAAGCCCACAAGGGGGACGACGCCTTGTCCAACCAGGCGAGAAGATCATCAACATACTGCCAGAGAGCGTGACCATGGCCTCACCATTATGCCGGCCAATCGCCCCCAATACCAACCGCTAGCACGAGCACCGAAGTTGAGAGTGATGCATCTGTAGAGTTCCCCATTTGCATGAAAGCACAGGAGGCCACCGTCATCAGGATGAACCAAAATCCTGCGGTGAGCTTTCGCAACATCCAGTGTAAGTTGTGTCATTTGTTGACACGCCATGCTGTCAGGGGCACATTGGATCACATCTGATATACGCGGCAAAAGCATATGGTTGGGTAGGACCGTGTTGGCGGTGACCATGCTGATGGAGCTGTCAACCACCAAGCGAGGTGAGCGACCCGGCGCTATGACAACGCCCAGCTTTCCTATGGCAGTTTTGGAATACATCTGTTTGAGTTGTGGAATGCCCCCTGGGACGTGTGCGATGAACCCCGCATCGAGCTCCTCTTGAGTTAGGGATCGAACAATCTCTGGATGATCCTGGGCGCTTTTCCAACTGTCACTGCAATCCTGAAGTGGCACCTCCTCGGGTAGCATACCAGAATGTTGTGGCCACGCCGGAGAGGGAGTCAGTGGCTCATTGACCCCCATGTGCACTCCGGTAGGGAGTTGGAGAAGGAAATCAGCATCAGGATCATGCAAGAATGTTGCCGACCGATGCCACAACTGTAAGCGAAATGGTTGGCCAGGAGAGATATCCAGGAGAAAGTCACCTGGTGGGCAGTCCAGAATCTCAAGCATGTCGTCAAGGTATGGTTTGAGCTCCTCCTCCGAGAGAGGTGGCTCTTTGCATCCAGACAGCAATGCTGCAGTAATTTTGAGGCACTGTCTGCTGTCACTGAGGCGCTTGAACCATCTTGAGCGCAATGCCGCCATCTTGTCGTGTCGTTGCGATCGCATGTGGAGTGCTGTACTCGGCAAACCGCCTCCATCCTCAATTCGACCTGGTGGGTCTGGCCACGACAGTTGTTTTGGTAAGATGGATTGCCAGTCGGCCACCTGTAGCACTTGGTGACCCGATGGCAAATAAGGTCGGATGATCGATGCCAATGCTTGCGCCAGGAGAGCAGGGTACTCTGCCGTAAGCCTGCTTTTGAACGTACCATCAGGGAGACGGACGCCAACAATAGGTTCGTGTGTCCCTGCTGGGTGAGGACACGATCTGGCAAGGTGACAAATGGCTGGTCTGTTCGACACATACATCCATGCTTTGGCCCAGTCCTTGTCAAATTGACAAGCACAGGCTTGAGCGGCATAGGGGGCAACTGCATGGACCCACTCATACATGAGAGGGTCATCCCAAGTCATAGAGGTAGAAGGATTCTCCAAAATGATCAAGCCTGCATGTCGATCAACAGCAGATAGCAGGATTCTCGATCTGTCATGGATGGTCGAGCTTTCTTGTACCGCGATCTGCTGCTGGATTGTGTTGGAGGGCAGGCCATCAAGGAACTCCGGGGTACGAACTGGGGCAGGCCCATTTGGTCTCAAGGTGGCTCTGCTATGTTTGCAGCAGTATGGAGCAGCAAGTGCTGCCCCAATGCGTCCTGATGAGGTCAATCGAAGTAAACTTTCGAATGTGTCATCATCCAAAAGATCCGAGCCGTGAATAAGGTCAACTGGTTCCACCCGATCGCCAGCAAGTTCTTGGACTGCATTGCTCACTGGCATTGAGGCACCCGAAAAAATGTCAAGAAAAAATCTGGCTGTGCTCTGCGATGAAAAGTTTCTGCTTTGAGAATAAGAGCTTGGCAAAGATGAGGAGACTGACACCACAGACGCGGGAAAAACTTCTGTAGGAGGCTCCTCTGAATTGCATGCATCTGGCACTGAAACTTGTGAGCAAGGTCAGTGTGGCGACTCTTTGTGCCTGGAGGCCGGATGAAATCCACCACAAGCTTCCCCATTCGCTTTGGCCACTGGGCATTGGTGCGCATACCTGCACTGCTGACCTGATTTGCACTTGCCAAGGTGATATCTGATGCAGATGCCCTTGCCGTCACTGGTCTTCTTCAGCCACGCATCATTCCATTTGGGGTTCTTCCCTGCGGGTGTAGAAGGCTTGTCCGCAGCTGATGCCTTAGGCTCCGGCTTCGGCTTCTTGGGGATGGGTTTGGGAAGCTCCGGCTTGCGCTTCGGCTGGTCAGCCCTCGGGTTCATCAGGGGTTTGGGCCTTGGGGCCAATGACGTGTGGAACACTTGACGGCAAAAGGCCACTTCATTCAGCACATCATTCAGTGACCATTTGGAGTCAGAGAGCAGCTCGACCACTGCTGTCCATGCAACTCGATCAGCGTCCAAGATCTCCGTCAGCGATGGTGAA